TTAAACAGAGATAAGAGCAGAAGGCAGAAAAAGTATTCCATCTGAGATTTAAACAGCTTTCACAAGTCTCAATAATACCAGAGAGTTTTTGCACATTGCTATTATGTGTATGAGGTAGCCACTTGTACATCATTTGATCCTGACAGTAAAAGGCACATAATAGTTAATGTTGTGACATTGAACATAAAGATTTATGTTCCTATCACCTGAATGATTACCTGCTTCCACCTTTATCTTCACCCCCTACCTACTATATTCTTAATACAATTACCAAAGTGATCTTTATGAAACCAATTTTTATTGTTGTTAATCCTCACCCGAGGATATTTTCCCATTGCTCTTAGAGTGGAAGGAGAGAGAGATGGAGGGGGGGAGGGATGGAGGAAGGGAAGGAGGGGAAGGGAGGGAGGGAGAAAGAGAGAGAGAGAGAGGAGGGAGGTGAGAGAGACACATCAATTTGGTTGCCACTCTCATACACACCAACTATGGCCAGGGATCAAACCTGCGACCCCTCAGTGCATGAGCTGATGCTCTTAAAACCAAGTTTTGATCATATCATGGCTCTGCTGAAAACTACCCAATGGTTTTCTACTTAACTTAGAGCAAACAATAAAGCCAGTCTATAAAATGTTACAAGTCCCTCCTTGAGCTGCCCTTTACCTAACCTATGACTCACAGTTATTAGTCTCCCTGGTGCTCATTCTCCTCCAGCCACACTGACCTTCAACCTGATGTTCTTGGAATATATCAGGTGCACTGGTACCTCAAGGGCCTTTGTACCATCTGTTCCCATTGTCCTAAAATTTCTTCTCCAATGTGGCCATGTGGCCTATTACCTCTCCTCTTTCAAGTCTTCTTCTAAATATCACTTTGTTGGTGAGCTTCCATGATCACCCATTTAAAAAATTGCAACCTCTCCCTGCAAGTAATCTCTCTTTCATTTTCCTACTTAGGATCATCCGATACATTAATCATAATTATTATTTAGTAGTATTGTTGCTGGTTGTCATTATTATTATTATCATCATCTTTCTCTGTTGTCCAAAATACAAGTTCTATGAAAGCAGAATATGTGGTAGGTGCTTTATGGTAGATGTTCAATAAATAGGTTTCAAATGAATGAATAAGGCAAATGAATAAATAAACCCAAGAAAATGAGATAGAGTGCTCTGAGTTTTATATCTACATAGACTCAAATGATAGAACACACTTATTTTGACACAGAATTGTCCTTCTACTAACAGAAATAGAGTAGAAGTCTGAAAAGATTAAAAATACATTGATGTGTATATCATATACTAATGACTCGTAGTATTAATGCTTGGAGTGGGAAATGTTTCAGCTAATGTGCCATTGAACATAAAGATAATGGCAGGTTCTCAGACATCTAAACACGATGCTACTGGCTTTGCACCAAAGCTGTAGCAGTATACACCACTAAATTCTGATGGAAAAAAATATAGCTATATCTATAGCTACATCTATAGTTACATCTATAGCTACATCTATAGCTACATCTATAGCTACATCTATATGTCTATATCTATATCTATATCTATATCTATATCTATATCTATATCTATATCTATATCTATATCTATATCTATCTATATCTGTATCTATACATCTCAAGCTGACACCAGGAGCATTTTTTTTCAGAAATCAAATTCCAGAACTTCGGCAGTAAACTGTTTTCCATTTGGCCCATGTCCCAAAGCATCCCAAACTATTCTTAGAATTCTGATTTCAGAAGGTTGTGTGGTTTAGTTTAAAGAACATAGATACCTGTATTTGAATCTACTTTACTAGCTGTGGGTAATCAGGAAAGTCTGTGTCTCAATGACCTCATCTATAAATACATTTTTAGAATAAAATGATATAGTCTAAAAATGCCAGAAATACCTGGTCCAAATCTGGGTTCTGTCTTTGTTTATGAGCTATGGCTCTTTTAGTTTTGTTTACGAGCTATGCTTTGTTTCCAGCTATGTTTATGAGCCATGCTGACTGTTTATGAGCTCTGCTTCTTTTAGTTTCCGCATTTGTAAGAGGAGGATTACTATGTCTCATGTGCAGTTGTGAGATCTAAGGATAACCAGGTAAGGCACCTAGCATGGTTTCTGTGTGCATCAGACACACATTAAAGAACAGCCCCATCTATCAAGGCTTTTCTGCTGCCTTTTCCCTCAGTGCATCACAATGACTCACCATGATTAGCCAGGTCATCAAGCCAAGGAAAAATGCTCCTTTATGAAGTACTAATAAAGTAGACTTTCAATAAAAATTTATGAAATAAATAAAAAGTGTAGAGATTATGTTTCATATATGGTATTTAAGGAAGCAGGGAACTATAAAGTACATTTTTAAGAGAAAATTGCAGTAATCTAGTTTAGAAACTAGACAAGTGAATTGTTAGATGCTATCTAAAGCATTTTTAAAGATTCATTTCAACAAAAATATCTGCCTGAATATGTGTGTCTGTGTAACTTCAAAGGGCTGAAATTGGATTGCAGGCAGATACTCCAAACTCAAAATTTCAGCTCAGTAAAAGGAAGATGTACATATGACAATCGATTTTCACAGAGACTCTGATTTGACTGCAAATAAATGACTTCTTGTGGCTTACAGTGTCCATGATGAGCCTTGATGGCCACAGTCAGGTACTCTCAAAAGCATTTCCAGGGTCAAGATTTGATAAAATAATTATCTTAGCTGCCTCACAGTAACTGTAATAAGTACAAAATGGTTTTATATACAACTCTGAACTCAAAATCTTTAAAAGTACTCTAAACAGACTTTAAAATGTTTAAAAGGTGCATCTGCTTGTGTATACAGCAGACACATTCAGCTTCTGTTGATGTCAATTTTGGGTGTTGTTTTTTTTTTTTTTTTTTTACTTTAGATTGTGAATAAATCAGATTGCTATGTCTATAGAAATTAAGTTCTATCTTAATTTCTTATAGCTAAACTTTTAATGAAGAAAGTACATTAAAAAATTTAAATATCAGTGAATATATCAGTCAGGGCTACTTAAATGTAGTTGAAAATTGGGACTAAAATATGGGTAAACCAGAAATTATATCAACAATGTGAGAAAGAAGCTTAAAAGTGAACATTGTGATGGATGCAGCATGTCAAAATTATTTGTTAAAGATTTCCAAATAAGACAGTTTATGGTGAATTCCAAATTAGAAACAGGATAATCTGAATGAAGAAAACTACTGATGAAAAAATTACTTCTCTGACTGCTGAAGCCATTCAACTGGATAATTACAGAATATTCTCAGGCCCTCTCTTGCCAAGTGAGTTATGATGGAACTTAAAAACCAGTTTCACCTCAAATTTGTGGAATGGAAAATACGTTAGTGCTAAATCAATAATTTACATTTTTGGATATGCATTTATTCTTACGGCATCATAAAATTTAGGGGGATTCTCCTTTTCAGATTGCCTTTTTTTTTTTTTTTGCCAACTGTGTAACCACATCTTGAACTTTTTTTTTAAAATATATTTTATTGATTTTTTACAGAGAGGAAGGGAGAGAGACAGAGTTAGAAACATCATGAGAGAGAAACATCGATCAGCTGCCTCCTGAACACTCCCTACTGGAGATGTGCCCCAACCAAGGTACATGCCCTTGACCGAAATCGAACCTGGGACCCTTCAGTCCACAGGCCGACGCTCTATCCACTGAGCCAAACTGGTTACAGCCAGATTGCCTTTTTATATAATTTCTAGAGCCTTTGTTAAGTTGAGGCGACTTACTCTGTAATAGCTATACTAGGAACCTGGGTTTTACAAATGTAATCATGTTTCAGAATGTAGTGTATAATTTTGGATCAAAATCCTGTTGGATTTTTAGTTTCACAATAGACTAGGGAAAAAAGCATAAAAAGTCAATGTATCTATATTTGGAATCAATAATTTTGGCTTCTAATGACAAATGTTTGGTCTCTAGCGCCACAATGAGGTGGAAACTCCGTTCAGTCACTCTCTCCATTATGCACTTATTAGCTCTCCCTTGTGTCCCACGGCAGGTCTCTAGAATTTCTTTCCCTTGTTCAACGGGCAACTTTTTCTTTACAAGCACCACTTCTCCAATATTCACCAACATCTATTTTCCATTAATGTAACCAAAATTTCTTCTACTTTCTATTTTTATAACCCCACTTTTGTGAAAATTGAGCTCAAATCCTAAATCAACATCAACAAAGATTTTTTTTTTTAGGTGAGGGGACATCAACAAAGATTTATCTGTTTCTCTGCTTCATGCCCTTGACCTCTTCCTATAAACAACCAGCTCGCTAGACTTGCATTCTTTTATCCAGTAACTACCTCCAGACTATTCTGTATGTATGTTTTCAATGCTGCTGTCCTCCTAAATGTTGCCCAAATTGTTCTTCCCTCATTATTTAAATGATTCTAGAAACATAAGCTCCGCGACTAAATCTGGTTAATAAAAAGAGCTGATGCCTTTCTTTTGTTCCCTGTGGACTACAGTGGAACCCCAGTGTCAATGTGTCACACATGTTTAACAGCTTTATCAAACAATCAGTTTAATACTGCTGCTATTGTTGTGTTTTAATTTGATTATCGATAAGTCTTAGATACAGTGTTAATGGTGTTTAAGTTTGCTACTTTTCTAGAACATTGCCTTGGGAGGTACAAGTTAAGAGCATCATTTTGATAATATGGCACTAAAATCATGAAGCTATAGGTTCCTCCTGAATAAAAATCTAGCCTCCAGGATCTAAATTATATATATAAACATATGTATATGTAATTTATTTATATTTAATTCAGATGTATATAAAAATCTATGTGTATAAGTGTTTGAAATTGATATATAGATATAAAACACACAATAAATAACCCTACTTTTTAAATGACATGTATAGCATAAGAAGACTGTTTCTTTTTAAGCATCCAATAAATAATCATCTATTGGCTAATTGCTCACTATGTGAAAGACACCATGGTGTGAATGTGCAGCTTTGACTTACCTCCTCTTTTCTTGTGTCATGTCCTTTCTGTACAAACCAGATCACTTTTGCTTGCAAAGACCGTGGAGTGCATTCCAGCAACGTACTGTTGTTCTCTATGCCATATGCCAGTCGCTCTTCAGTCTTATCCAAAGCATCCCCTACAATAGGAATGTTAAGATCAGCCTTGAGACTTGGATTTTATTGGTAAATAATATTTCTAAAAGGTTATTCATTAGAGCCCTGAATAACTCTCATTTATTGCTAATTTCAACACAAGGTAACTTAAATGAGTTTTTTAGAGTTAGTGGGATACCAAAATCTCGACATCAAAGACACAGCAGGCTTTTGGGTGGGACAGGAGGAAGTAACTGGGAGTTTGGTTTCACAGGATAAGACAATCAGGAGGACAGTAAAAGGATGCCTCAGTGTTAAATTAGTCATCAGTGTTAAATATAAAGGAAATCAGTGGCAAGTGCTTAGCAGGGAAGGTAAGAAAAGGCGAGCAACAAATGTTCAAGCAAGGCATAGGGCTCAATTCACGGTTACATGAGACAAAAGCAGACAGCAGAAATCGAGGTGATAGGGCTCTATATAAACACAGAGTGAGTGGCATCTTGACAAGGGATTGTACTTTTCCAGATATCGGGCTCTTGCAGTAAGAAAGGGGTATGAAACTGAACTAAGGATTTTGTGAACCAGAACTTCTTGATTATAAACTGAATCTTGGATCAGAAGGGCTCCCACTGAACTTGAACCCAAATTTGCACACAGGCAAGTATACCTCACTGCAGTGGGGAATAAAAGCAAGTGGATTTAATTTTTGTTGCTTTAACCAAGGTCAAATTCAACAACTAGATCCCAGGGCTTTTTCCCTAGGCCTGTGTTCTCACCTTTAACACTGACCCCTACGTTTCTCTAGGATTAAGATCCGCCTTTCTCTAGCCAATATTCTCAGAGACTTACGTCCTGCACAAAATCCTGAGTCAGCTTAGGGTCCATCAAGCGACTACTGGACCACAGTCTCTAGAACTGTGTATAAACACCTCTGGTCTCCAACCATGGTGCCCCTTCCTTCCGTGACTTCCTGGTGAAACCGGTGACACTAAGCACAGCCCGTGCACCAACCACCATCACGGTGTGAAGAGCCGCAACACTGTTCCTACCTACCCCTGTTCCTCAGAAACCAACATCTGCGCAGCCAACCCCAGCTCTCAGCTTGTTCTACTTCAGCGAAAGAATCACAGTTTTTCTACTTTATTCTATCCCCAAACTTAGTAGGTAACTTAACACAAGTTAGAGCACTCTTGACAAAAGTGGTGGTAGTACTAGTATATAAAACTTCATTTACTGAATCAGAAAATATTATAGGTCAAATTCATATTTTAACTGCATGGAAGAAAAAAGAATACTTTCAGTAACGCTGGGCTTGTATATATCAATCACAAAGAAAACAAGGACCCTTTTTAAGAAATGTGCGATATCTCTTCAATGTACATTGTAAGTAACCCATAGCAATCAATTTCCTATGGATTACCGACAAACTGCTGGCCAAAGCACTGCTGAGCTGCGTTTCCATGCCGAACGTCTTGTCTGCGGAACCGCCTGAAAGAAAGTAAACGCATTTAGCTGTTCAGATTTCCATTTTTCCAGACTTTAAAATAGAGCCAAGTGCGTGAAAGATTCAAGTAGCACTCTGCTACTGAAAGAAATTGATCAGTCACACAAAACAAGGATAAAATCTGAGTTTCATTGTTCTCAATATTTCCATTGAATGTTATTCACTGGATAAGATCCTTATAACATTATTCTTTAAGTGTTCACATCAGTTTGAATTCTGGATACTGAATCAATTTAAGAAAGCTCTCCATCTTATTAAAAATTTAGTTCAATAAGAAGTCTAATTTTAAATGAGTGTCTTGGGTGGTAAGGCATGTGTGCAGAGAAAGGAAGTAGAATTTGAAGAAGACTATTTGAGTAAAAAATACATAAAACTCCTTTATAAAATAATACATGTAAAAATGGTATTGGAATCCAAATACTTTGTTCTAAAGCCATCATGATCAATTAGTCCAAACACAGTTGCTAATCAAAAGGTAACCAATAACATATTTAACTTACTCTTTTATTCAGACATCATATATAGAAATTATATGCTGCTATTCAATGTGGTGGTGTGTTGTACATTTTTAAGAGGATATCTTGCAACTCTGTCTATTAGAATCAGGGTCACTTCTAGCATAGTTTCATATTTTACAGACTGTTTAGATATATAATTGAAAAATTATAACATTATAGAAAAATTCAGAATATATATATATATGTATATATATATATACACACACATATATCATGTTTTAACTTTGTAAGAAGCTTTCTGAGGGATTAAATAATGGAAATTATCAGTATTAGTACTGGAATTCTAAAATAAAGATCTTCAGCATATTAATTCAGATTATAGATAAAACAGAAGTATTCCATGAAGGCAGAATATACCACTTCTCTAAAGCATGGCATTTCCCCAAAACTGTGGGGAAAACAGAAGGCAAAGCAGAAGTTTTACCCCAGAGAGATGGTGCGGTTTCCTAAGTGACAATGAGAAGCTTTAGCCATATACAATGATAAAATTTGGAAAAGGGAACCAGACTCAAATCCCAATGCCACCACTCACATGCTATACGATCTTATACATATCGCTTTCATTCTCTGGTCCTCTGTGTCCTCCTTTGTAAAACAAAATTGGTCTGACACCTAAAGCTTATTTTAGTTTCAACTTCTTTTTTCATTCTAGGTTCCCTTCACTGCCTCTCCATAATGATAATGGAACATTATTTCAAGATATGGAGTACATTCTTACATGTGAGCTCAGATCTTAGTTGACAACGCAGTACTTAAACAATTGTTTAAGTACTTCCCTATATTGAAAGCTAGAGCAGATGAACACTTCTAGGCATTTTTTAGAATTATGACCTATGTATAAAAGCATGTTTTGTTTTTAAATAAAAATTGTCGATCAGCAAACCTTATCTACAGATCCCAGATTTTACAAAGTTAAGATTAAATCTGCCACATGGATTAATCTATTGAGCTAAACCGAAAAAAAAATAAAACTTGACAAACAAGTAAAGAGCAAAAGTAAAAACTTTTATGCTTCTATATTAATCCCTACTAACATCCACAGCTATTATACAGCTGGTGGCAGCTCTAGGTGAGATTTTAACTGCTTTTGTTAAGGGCTCACTACACTGAGTATTTCTTTGGTACTGGGAATACAAAGTGTTGTGAGCAATGATGGGTGAATAATGGAGCAGAGTAAATCACTGACGTGAAAAATGGTTCCCACTTTGCAGAAATAATGTTGTGTCATGTGTATTATACAAGTGACATGAAAATAAAGGAAACTCCAATCAGATAATTCTATTCAAGCAATGTCAATACTAACCATGCAAAAATTTCTTTAAAATCACTGAAAAAAATGCATTCTAAAAGAAAGATTTCATTAGGCTTTCATTCATTGTATACTCCCCTAATATAGCTGTCCCTTATTTCAGCACTTAAAAAGGAATGTCAATGATCAGGAGTTTTAGAAAGGTTATCCAAAGTTGCCTTTTATTCTCAAGGTTGCATATTTTCCTTATGTTTCTTGCCTCATAGAAACTTTTTAAGAGAACCCTGGAAATAGACAAATTACAAGAGCAAGGAGAAGAAAAAGACTTAGCTCTATAAATTTTAGTGTATTTTGGAAAACTATTTTAAATAAGTGGTTTTGATTGTATATCAATCTTTTTTTTTCCCCCTCTGTTGACTCATTTTCACTCTATGAATAGAAAAGTATTTATTTTAGTGACCAGTTTTTAATTTCTGCTGCTAGTCAGGCCTGAAGCAAAATGATCTGCTATAAAAGCAAACTATGTTCCCTTCATGTGCTGGAATTTATCCAAAAAGTTCTCCTCCAGGGGTGAGTGATGGTTCAAAAGAATCTGACACCCCTGAAAGATCTCCATTACATGTCACTGAACTGAACTAATTCATTCATGAGCACGGCTCCTGACTCCAGCATTTCACTCCTTCCTGCCTACAATTTTGCCCATTCATTTAACTTTTTCTAAATGACTCTTTTTGTCCACTCCTTTTTAAATATGCTACCACGCTTTTGGTTGTACCACCCTTATAAGAGGTACCATATACCAAGAAATACTTACCAATGGAAACGGTTCAGTTAAAGTTCTTCATCCCTATTAAATGCCTAATAAAAAACCTTGTTACTCATAAGGGTTTGATACAAGGTTTGTAAACCTTGTATCAAACCCTTATGAGTTGAATAAGCCATTAAATAATATATTCAAATAATAACATGGATATATCTGTAATAATGGTTTTCAAATATGAATAATACTTTTTAAAAAAACAATTAATTTGCTTGATTCTTTAATAGGGTTGGTAAATTATTTAGTTTATTATTTAGTCTTCTGAAAGCATCTTTTCACTTTCTGTTAATCATATCATTTCGTTTACTCATTGAAATGTTAATTTAGCTAAGGCCAAATTAACAAAAGGTTTGAATTAGTGACTAAGTTTTTTTAAATGAGGTTCTATTATATATGTGAACCTATAAAGAACACAACTATATTAATTGGGTTAAATTAAATTTTGAAAAAGGTTTAAAGGAAAGTAATCCAAAGTGAAAGAGTAAGAATAATTGAAGTTTGTAAAAATTGCTTTTCAGCAAGGAAATTGTATATAGTTCTATGTTTTTGCTTTTTATTATCTTTGGTCACTTTATTAAGAGAAAACGAGAATTGCTTGTTCTAAATAAAATAGAAATATTTTTCCTTATATTTTACCCCAAAGAATTTCATAAAGCTTGAGTGAAGAAAAATTTTTATTCTTCAAAATACTTGCTACACCTCAAGATCTCCTCTTCTAAGAATCTTGAGATTTACCTTCTTTAAGAAGTGGCAATGACCTTGCTGAACTGTAGGCATTAGAGTTTGGAAGTCGTTAAGTACCTTTCATTTGTGTTGAATTAAGTCACATGTTTCATTAATTATACAGGTCATGAATTTGCTTAGTAGTTAAAATATTCACTTTCAAAATGAAATAAATGAAGACCAGCTGGTTGAGAGGACATGGGGCAAATGCAGGATGTATTTTAGAATTTATTTATTTATTTTCCTTTTAAGTCTTTGAATCCCTCATGTGTGGTGGCCTGCCATTCCCACATTTTAAACTGGTTTCATGTCTTGCAGCAAAAGTTTCAGAAGGGGGAAGAGTTGATTCAAACCTGGGTAGAAAAATAAAAATCTAGTAGTGTGCTCAGCTCCAGTTTCTACACAATATTGATGGGTGTAATTTTCAGGAAAAATTTAAGTTTTCAAACTCATAAATATGACTAAATGATTAATTTAAATAAAAAAATAGTTATTTTTGTGGAATGGGTTCAGAAGAAAAAAATGCGTTAGCATTTTCCTAAACCAGGGAAGTACACATTCGAGGACTCTGTCTCACCTTTTTGCATGTGTGCCTGTTGGGTAATACCGGGAACAGGATATGCCATCCCAGGCACAGTAAGGGTCTCGAGCCAGGCAGCAGTCAGCACAAGCACTTCCATACAGGTCACACTGATGGAATCTGACTTGGGCCACAGCAGAAGCAGATCCAATATACAGCTGTTGCTATAGATTCAAAGAAGAGAGGCCACTAGCAGAAATTAATGGTCAGAACTCTCACTGAGCTCTTACACCAAGATTTTCATATTCATACACAATTACCTCCTTGAATATTCACTTAAATGACTGCAATAGATAATGGAACATTGGTACTTTAATTTCGCAAAGATATGAAGCTTAGACTTGGATGCATAACTAGCAAAATTGCTAGAGTGATTTCAAAGTTCTCAAGAAGTTGACTGTTATTTTATCCATTGTCTAAGTAGCGAGACCCTTTCATCTCCTAACATTATAATTCTTTTTAAAAGATCTATAGGAATGTTTTGTAAAAGATTAAATTAAAAAATGGACTATATTTTTTTAAATCCTCACTGGAGGACATGCTTAGAGAGAAGAAAGGGGAGAGAGGTAAAGAGAGAGAGATAGAGATAGAGATAGAGATAGAGATAGAGATAGAGATAGAGAGATAGAGATAGAGATAGAGATAGAGATAGAGACAGAGAAATATCCATTTGAGAAAGAAACATTGAACCATTCGCCTTCCGTAGGTGCCCCAACCAGGAATCAAACCACAACCCAGGTATGTGCCCTGACCAGGAATCAAACTGGCAACCTTTCAGTGCCCAGGATGATCCTCAACCAACTGAGCCACTCTGTCCGGACAAAAATGGTATATTTTTGCATTTAAAAATTTTGGATATCATTGACATGTAACATTACATTAGTTTCAGGTGTGCAATGTAATAATTTACATTGTGATCACCACAACAAGACTAGTTAACATGCCTCACCATACATAGGTACAAATTTTTTATTCTTGTGATGAAAACTTTTAAGATCTACTCTCTTAGAAACTTTCAAATATTCAATACATTATTACCTATAATCACCATGTTGTACATTATATCCCCAGGACTTAGGTATTTTATAACTGGAGGTTTATACCTTTTATCACTTTCACCCATTTTGCTCACCCCCCACCCCATGCCTCTGGCAACCATCAATCTGTTCTCTGTACTTATAAGCTCTTTTTTTTTTTAAAAAAAAAATTTCACATCTAAGTGAGTTCATATGGTATCCACGTCTTTCTCTGACTTATTTCACTTAGCATAATGCCCTCAAGGGCCATTTATGCTATTACAAATGGCAGGATATTCTTCTTTTATGGCTGAACCATATTTTTATGGACAGAACTCTCTAAAATGCTAACACATAGTGTATACCACATTTTCTTTACCCAGTCATCCCTTGATGGACACTTTGGTTGTTTCCATGTCTTGGCTATTGGAAATAATGCTGCAATGAACAGGGGAGTGCAAATACCTTTTGGAAATAGTGTTTTCCTTTTCTTCAGGTATATACCCAGAAGTGGAATTACTGAAACATATGGTAACTCTATTTTTAATTTTTTAAAGAACCTCTATACTTTTTTCTAAAGTAGCTTCACTAATTTACATTCCCACCAAGAGTGTACATCGACATATAACATTTAGAAGAGTGATGTAGACATACATAGAATGACATGGAATAAACTGAAAGATATGTTGGTAAGTAAAAAGGACAAGTAGCAGAACAATTAACATTGCATGTTCCCATTTTTCTAAACATAAAAGGTTATTTTAATAATAAATATGAAGAATATATGCAATTGTTTATGAGAAATTTATACCAGAAACTAGTATCAGTGAAATGGAAGGGAGGGCCTGGATTGTGTGACCCAGTGGTTGAGCATCAGTCTATGAACCAGGAGGTCATGGTTCCATTCTAGCCACGGTGCATGGCTGGGTTGCAGGCTCCATCCCCAGTGTGGGGAATGCAGGAGGCAATCCATCAATGATTTTCTCTCTCATCATTGATGTTTCTATCTCTCTCTTCCTCTCCCTTCCTTTCTGAAATCAATAAAAATATATTTTAAAAAATGGAAGGGAGGTTTGTGTTTCACTGTACAAACCTTTTGTGTTACTATTATTTTTGAAAAAACATTAGCGAGAGTATATGGAATAATGTCTTGTAATTGTATATGTAAATCTATTCAAGTCTACCTGTCTAAGAAGAAAATATATTACATGTGAATCACTATATATTTTTCTCAGAATAAAACTATAACTTGTTCAGATATAAGAACGTGTTCAGATATAAGCTCTTTATCCTTTGACTTTAACTCAGACATAGAAAACATACACACAACTTACTCTCTTTGAAGAAATCTCCATAGAAATAATAGGAACTGGATCCTGAAAAATTAAAAAAGTTTCCTTTTTCAGAAAGAAAATATAGGAACATACCTTATGATGGTTATCAATCACCTAAAATCATATAATATGTGAGTAGTTCTATGTCAAGAAATCTATAGCTTTCATTTTAGTAAATCGATAGACAAATACAATATTAAAATACAGCTTTCTATTTAAAAACCTTTTCTAAAGTAGTGGGACAGATATGTAGCTGAGAAAAGTAGTGGATAATTTAAGCAGCTTACCATTTGTTCTTAAATGTACTTTTTATATTTGCATTTGAATATTGTTCATGCTTTGGAAACTCAAGTATCTTTAAATAGAACAATCAAGTCAGAGTGTTCTTTCTTATAAAAGTAGTTGAATCATTAAAAGTAAAAGTTATTATGTCTTTGAACAAGTGTTATTGCTAATAAGCCAAAAACATTAGTAAAAATTATGGAATAATCTCACGTAATTATAGATGTAAACCTACTTTAATTGACTTATCCCAAGCCTAAACAAAATACTTTTTAATTGGAGCTATTGTGGTTAGTAATAATGGACCCAGAGTATTTTGAACATGATGAATAACCTCTATGTTTACGACTTGTACCAGTGAAAGTACGATCTAGATAGAACATAGCTTTGAGAGCCTATGTGTTATTCTACGGATGGTGATTAAGACCAGAGTGTCTTTAAGGAATACCACAAAACTGATCAATTCTGCAAGTGGAGAAGCAATTGGCAGGTGTGTTTCACTCTGTGGATGATTTCCCTTAGAAGAATTATGTTATGAAAGAGAAAATTTCATGTGTCAATTTTAAAAAAAAAATTTAAACTATAGAATCCTAAATGCATGTATGTATGCATTCAGGCAACAATATTTCTTAAGGTTTAATATGAACAAGACACTGTTGTGGATGCTGTTACTATGAGCATTATGGTCTCTAATGTGAAATGAATTCTTACATAGAGGCCCAATAGGAAAAATAAACAATAGCATAAATGAGCTGGTTGAAACAGAAACATGTTTAGGTTCGGGTTTAGTTATGGGGAATCTAACCTCCAAGACAGCCAGGGTGAAATGAACTGTTTTTCATCCATAAAATATTTTGGTATATGTTCATTACATACATAGACAGCCAATCATTCTTCATTATGTATAGATTGTGTGTCTGCAAATTTGCCTACTTGCTAAAACTTATTTGTAACCTCAGTATCAATATTTGTGGTGTTCTGCAGTCATGGACATGTGTACGCAGCGAGGCAAAAAGTTTGCGTTGCCCAATGTGCACAGTCCCAGCTGAGGTTGATCCAAGCTGCCTTCTAGGTTCAGCTCTCACATTGTAAACAAGCGCCCTTTTCATGGTCTATTTGGTGCCACGTTTTTCACATTTTTGTGCTTTCTGTTGGTGATTTCAATGTTTAAAATGGCCCCTAAACATAGTGCTGAAGTGCTCTCTAGGGTTCCTAAGCTCCAAAAGGCTGTGCTGTGCCTTATAGAAAAAATACGTGTGTTAAATTAACTTTGTTCAGGCATAAGTTAAAGTGCTATGGGCCACAGGCTCAGTGCTAGCTTATCAACAGTATACACTAAATAAGGTGGCTTTAAACAAAAAACGCACATTATATATTGATCAGTTGACAAAAAGTTGTGACTGGAGACTCATGGGAACCTAATCAGTATTTCCCTAGGAGCAATGATCAGTAGTTACTAATTCAGTATTTACGGTCTCTTTAAAGAATATAACTGCCACAAATATTGAGACTTGACTCTGTGTGTGTGTGTGTGCATATATACAATTGTATTATCATGTCTAATCTTTCCATTACCATTTTGAATTTTTTCCTTTTTTTAGTAAATTCTGGATAATTGATATGCTATAATGTGCTTATCACACCACAGTGTCCCCAGTATAAAACCTACTGTTATGTTTTAGTTGTCAGTTTTTATTCTACATTTGTACAAGATGAAACTTTGCAATAATCATTCTGGAATTCATATGTGGTTTAAGCGTTATTTCTTTAAGTCACACTCCATGCATTAAAATTCTTCTCATGTTAGGTAATTACTGGCCTCTTTATTTGAAGTCTTTGAAAATAAAATAGATGCACCAGGATTTTAAATCATTCCTCACTTCAAATCACTCCAAATCCACAACGTATTTGTTAGAAAAAAAATTGACATAATGTCTTTTCTATTTACAACTCACTTGGAATTGTCTGCAATGGATAAATGTTGGCTGAATTATTTTTACTAAAAATACCTTGAATATCTGAAGTTCTTCTAGAATTACTTCTTCCATTGATTCTGTTTCTTGGTTGTAAATTGTGATTACTTTCAGCACAATTCCATTATCTGTATGGGAAAAAAGGGGGAGAGAGAGAGATAAACTAGAAGTTTTGTCACATTTAGTCTTCAAACAATTCAAAACCATATGTGATGAAGGAAAATTCATTACCTGAACCTACATTTCTGGTAAGAAACTTTACTTTAAATCTTAGGAACCAACACACTATGGAGATACACACACACACACACACACACACACACACACACTTTTATTAGAAAAGTGTCAAGTACACACTATTGAGAGTATAGTATAATGAGCCCTCTGACACTAATCATTTAGCTTCCATAATTATCGATAATTTTGCAAATTTATATTCACATTTTTAAATTATAGCTTATTTTTATTATTCCTGATATTCTGCACTCGTTGTTTACAATGAAAAAGTCAATACAACACTCATTTGCCTGTAAAAATAATTTGGTGTAGTGCTGGAAATAAATCAGAAAAAAAAAACCACTTGGGAATTACTGATCTAAGAATTTCTGTGGTACTTAACAACTTGTTCAAAACTTATCAACTCATATTTAGGTTAATAATATTTGATTAAAATAAAAAAACTAATAATTACCTGTATTGTATACTAAAAGGAATACAAGTAATCATAAATTGTAAGGCCAAGCATATTCCATAAATATCCCACAATGATTACATCAAGCAAAAACCAAGATTAAACTCAAATTATTAATTTGCCACTAGTGATTTTGCAATAAGGACTCTCTCTATAGATAGATAAGTAGATAGCTAGAGAATATTAAAGCATGTGCCTGGGAAATTTTTGGGGGAATAACTATCATTTGTGGGCTTTTCCTCACACATTCATTAAATATGTTCTTTTATGTTGAAAAGCTGTGGTACAATATGATTACATCTGTGAGTTAAACATGGTTTGCATGATAACATAAGTACATTCCTGATATTTCTGAAATTCTTTCAAATAGCTTTGGTTAATCTAACAAGAAAGTATGTCTAAAAATGTTCTTGGACTACTTTCCAGGACATTTAAAAATAACATACTTTTTTCCATGATTAATTTTATCAAATATGATCTTGCTTATAGAATGAATTTTCTTTCTTTCCTTCTTTCCTTCTTTCCTTCCTTCCTTCCTTCCTTCCTTCCTTCCTTCCTTCCTTCCTTCCTTCCTTCCTTTTTCCTTCCTTCCTTCCTTCCTTCCTTCCTTCCTTCCTTCCTTCCTTCCTTCCTTCCTTCCTTTCTTCTTTTCCTTTTTTCTTTCTTTCTTTCTTCTTTTTCTCTGTTGGATGTCACTAAGACTGAATTCATGGCCAGGTAATTTTAAGTTTGTTAAAGAAATGTGATGCTTTGTTAATCTTGATCCCACAGTGCAGAACATATTATTAACATTACTCTCCTAAAATAAATGGATAAAACATAGCCAGCACCAGAGATCCATTTGTGGAAATTAGATGAATGTTTCCTTACTTAAATATTTGCCTTTTTCAAAGGATATGACTGCAAAAGCTCAAGTACCAATATTCATATCAGATCCCAGTTCCTGATCTGGTCATATGCAATGTCTCTTTAACATAATGTCTTTGATTAGAGTTATGTATGTAGAATGCTTACTCTTCTAAATAGCAACTGCAGTAGCAGTTACTATGATGAGTATGAAAAAAGAAAGAATTGATCATTTAAGAAGCTTTTTAAATGACTATAGAATTTTAAAGTACTTGACAGAATTTGCTACATCTTACTCTGAATGCTAAAAGATTCCAAGTTCTCTTCCACTAAATCTAATGTATGGCATTAATTGTAATTTTATATTTACTTGAAATTTTACTTTTAGCATTTTTGTTACAGTTTATTTTATGAATGCAGAATATTATAGCTTTGGTCTAAAAGTTTACCTCCATTATGAGTAACACTTGGCCTGTTTGGTACAAATGGTTGATTCTGATAGGGCCTGATAAACATTGCTGTGATTATAGGTTTAGGTGAAATGATTGTCCTAAATGTTTAAAAAATCTTGAGATGTTACCAAGCAGCCAGAGTTGGCAACGGACCTGGGAAATGGCAAGAGAACCATCTACATACAGCCCTTACTTCCTCTATGAGAAGTTCTACTTGGAACCGGCATTGTTTACTAACACCAGTGATTTGTTCCTTCATGTATTCATTTGTTTAAATGTATTAAGTATTGACCATGTATCACAAATTAGGTGCTGTAACTGCCCCAAATCCTCTCTTCCATTGCAGCAAATAAGCAATGTGTAATAGGCTAATGGATCAAAAGGAGTTTTTTTTGTTTTGTTTTTTTGATAGGTAGTTTAAAAAATGTTAGGTAGTGTAAAATTAATAATGTTTCCATGGGTTATGCATATATGCATATAAGTTCTTTGGTTAATCTCTTCCCACCCTCCTTTCCCTCTGAGATTCAGTGTGTGTGTGGGGGGGGGGGGGGGGGGGGGGGAGTGAGGGGAGGTACATCTGTAATACCTTCAATAATAAAGATAAATTTTAAAATATTAATAATAATATTGATTATCTCTGAATCTTTCTAATCTCTTTACCTGTCCCAATAAACAAGACATCATATTGGCCATCCTCCGCTACTACTTGATCCACTGCTATTTGTTTCAGGTTATATTTCCCATCTGTTTTCACCAGTATTGGCTTTTTATGGGCAGGTTTTATGGGCTGGTACATAAGTGGATGGCTTCTCGCAAATCGGATAGCATCATCGGGATAGTCTTTCGTAGTTCCGTACCTCCCTCCATTCACTTTGCTGGCACACTAAAATACAAGTGGATGAGATTATTTTTTTGACCTTAAGCCTAAAAAGCAAATTTAAAATCAATTTATGAAAAGAATTAGAAAAACTGTATGTGCTTCATTAACTGCATTTAGAAACATTTAGTAAGGATATGTTCTTCACTACAGAAATGAAATCTACATTAAAAATTGCAAGGAGATTCCAAATTACTTTAAACATACAACACTAGAAATACACAGAGAATAATAAAATCCTGGAAAAGTAAAGTATATTTAATCCTGGTTTAGTTTGAAGGTGGTCAAAATGTATAACATCATAAATATTGTAGTTATTTTCCCTGTTTTCTGAAATTAACTTTTTCACAGTGCAAATTAAAATTTGAAGGTAATGTATCGTTCAGAGCAAAGCAAAAAATCTTTTTTCTCCCCAAATTAAGGATCACAACAGCACAAAATAGCTTTCCCATTCTGGAGACTACGATGATATGATTGGTGATGGCTTCAATTGGCTCACTGACTATAGAATTTAGTGCTGTAACACAGAAACCTATTCAAATTCCATCATGATTGGTTAAGAAAAAACCCTCTGTTCTCCTATAATCTGTATGAATTTGTATTATTTTGAATGGATTAGACAGAATAAATTGAGAAAGCCAGAAATATTTGCTAACACATGTCTCAGTTCCTTAATCACTGCCTCTAAAAATAAACGAACAGCAGCACCTTCGGTTACTTCTTGGAATACCTTTAGCTGTTGAATCATGCTTGTCATTTTTCGCTCCCTCATTTTGCATATTTTCCTCCAGAATCAGCAGCAATTGCAATGATTATCTTGATAAAAATTTTCCACTTTACAGTAGAAATACAGTAGTTTAGTAATCAGATTCTGCAAAGAGGGCATTTTTAACGGTTTGTTTTAAAAATTGAGGCCACATTTCTTAATTTGGCCTGAATTTTTCACTTGAGTGTATACTTTCATGATAAATAATTGGAAACATTTTGGACCAGCCTGGAAGCGATTCAGTAACCAGTCACTTCCTCCAAATCTCCTTTAATACCATGTGGTTGCAAGAAGCATTTCCAGCAAAGCCACAGAAGTGGGTTTTCTCCATTTAAATTGTAATTTCAATCAATAGAGTGAAATAAAATATAGTTTATATCTTACTGGAAGCCATAATTTTAAGCTAGTGAGAGGGAGTGATTGAAATGGCAAAGCCTTACACTTGTTAATGGAGGTAAGGTTTGTTTCCACTTTGGATTTTGGCCCTGCAGAAAGATTTCTACTTGATTTGCAAGTACTTGTGGAATCAGCATAGTGAGGGGTTTTCACCAGCTGCTCCTAAAAGAACAGATTTTGACTCGCTGACAAATTAAGTGCTCGGCATGGCTCACATAGCACATAAAACGATCATACATTTGCCCATCCTAGTTGCACACAGGATACTTGATACAAAAATCATCGTCATCATCATCACCATCACCATTGCCATCATCGGTTTCAGATATGTGTGCAATTAAAAGCACATAAGCTGAATGGTTGGTGAGGGGGAATCTTGGTAGCACCGGTTCAGAGGCAGACAGTGGAACTTTCTGTTCGCTACACCTCTTTGCATGGACACTTTTTCCTAGGAGCCAGCAAGAATGGTAAATGAGATGCTGGGGGTCCTGAAGAGGCAGAGAAAAAGCTACGTTTAGATATGCTAATGTGAGAATCTAACATTGGTTCTCAACCTTCCTAATGCTGTGACCCTCTAATACAGTTCCTCATGTTGTGCTGACCCCCAACCATAAAATTATTTTCGTTGCTACTTCATAACTGTAATTTTGCTACTGTTATGAATCGTATTGTAAATATCTGATATGCAGGATGTATTTTCAGGGGTCGCGACCCACAGGTTGAGAACCACTGGTCTAGGAGCACATTTGGCCTAGGGAACTTAGAACCCAAATATTCGAATACAAAAATGTCTCCTGCTTGGAAATTACATGTGGCACTAATTCTTCTGAAGAGGCTGGGAGGAACGCTATGCTCCTTTGATGGGATGTTCCTGTGTTCACCAGTACCCTTAAAAAGAGAATGTTAGTTGGGGTTACTTAGCCAAAATGTCCATGATAATACATAGTTCATCCTCCTGCTAAGATGTACCCATCATAGATTCTTTCCTTTAAATAACAAGGACACAACTAGAAATAAGAAGTGATTTTTCTATGCCATTAAAGTGGTGAAATGTATTTTAGGTGTAGGATTTAACTGTGTAATGCAAAGTTTTGTAAAACATCTGAAACAGTGAACAAAATATTTCTAAAAGCCTTTAAAAAATAAGAATACTCCATTAAATGCCCAAACTTACAGAACCAGGCCTTGGATAAGGAACTTTCCCTTCATAGAGTGACCAGTGGTATTCAGGTCCTTCCTTATGTGCATATGGTCCGTTAAAAGCTGCCCGGATGCTAGACATATGATAGACACATATAGCATGTCCTCGAAAGATATTGCTGGGGGAAAAAAAAGATGATTACTATCATGGAAGTGACTAGGAGGTCACCTAGTCAAACCCTCTAGACTACATAGATAAGAATGAAGTCTTTTGGTTAAGAAATGTCAATCAATTAAGCATAGAATATCCTAGAAATATTTACTATTGCAATATTTCAAGTATTAAAACTCTAAAACTTAATATTTCTATGCTTATTTTTATAATAAATTGAAAATGACATTGTTAGAATCATAGAAGTACATAGTTGTGCCACTTCACTTTGTTATTATTAAATTTTATATTTTGTTTTATCATTTTTATTAAGAAAGATAATTCTTTGTTTTGATATTTAAAAGATTAATATTTTAAAGTTAATATTTTAAAAGATTCATTCCCAAGTTGAATTATTCATTTTAAGGTTTCATATCCTTGTATGTTATTCCATATTCCAAAACAATGCTAGAGTAGAAAGATGACTGGACTAAACTAGATTAATTTGTAGAAAATTATTTAAATTATATAGAGCCCAGATTCTTTACCTTCAAAACTAGCAGCAATTGAAATTATTTTCTAGATAAAAATTTCTACTTGTAAGGCATAATGATAGCAGTTGACTAAGTATGACAAGTTTTATGGGGGGCACATGTAATAAAATTCAACAAAAGTACATTTTTAAATGATGTGCTTTAAAAATCTGGCCCTTTTCTTAGTTTGCATGACCTGCATGAATTCTCACATTTCCCCAGCCCCCTCATTGTGAGAATCAAAATAATGTTTGTGAAAGTGCTTTGCAAGATGCAAAGTTCTTTATAAATAGAACAGTTCCTACACTCTGAGACACCTGCAGAACAGCAGTTATGTTACTGTCTTAGGACATCAATTCACACCTTTTATAGCACACCTTGAAGCAATTGGAAATGCCTATGATAGTGAGAAAAACAGAGATAGTCTCCCAACTCATGTGGCAATAAACCTTTGATCACCATGCTACGAATATCAACCCTTACATTAGGTAACAGCTGGGAAATCATTTTCTTTGATTTATGTATTTATTGAATAGTCAACATTGAAATTATGGAAGAAAATAATGTCTTATCTTTGAAATCTAGACAGATCTATTATGTTATCATTTAGGAAAGTAGCTTACAAACTGATCATACTAAATCATAGAAAACTATACTGATTATTCTATAGTTTGTATTTATCACATAAAGCCATGAAATTATCATGCAATGCATAAATTCTGCACTAGCTTAAGGGAGAAGATGAAGTTTTAAAAAGTTATGAATTTTCTATGGGCTGTGATAGCTACCAATCTATATTAACCACTTTTCTTTGCATCAAGGAACAATTGATAGCAAAATTGTTTCCATGTGTCTCTGTTGAAGAAAAGGTCTCCTTACAATAGCAGGAAACTTGTCCAAAGAGCTTTACTATTTATTTATTTTTTTCAAAGTGAGCATATGAAATCACCTGCTAAAAACTAAATGAAAGCTTTGCGGAGAGACACTAAGCAAGTAAGTTAAACACGATTAGATCTCAGTTTAAGGCAAATGCAATGCAAAAAAAAGAAACTATACGTTATATCATCTGATCCCTTTCTGGAGAATTGAGGTGTAGTCTTTATATCTCATTCTAGCCATCTTACCTACACTCTGCCTTATTTGGAAAGACACTTGGAAAATTATAGATGAACTTTTAACCAAACTGATTCTAATATTTTTTCATGCATGTATCAGCATGTGTTAACAACTATTTGATTCATTTTCCCAGCACTCTTCAAATCATACAAAATATAAAAACATAAAAAAGAAAAATAATAGATTATAAGCCCTAAACAGGAGCAGCTTATTTAAATTAAAATATAGAAGGCAAATTTCAAACATGTGTTCTTTGTGACTCTACATAGAAGTAGGACAACCAGAGCAAAGGGTGAATAACGTGCTTTGTGATCAAGAAAGAAGGACTTTTCTTTTTTAAAAAAATATGTTTTTATTGATTTTAGAGAGATTTGAAGGGAGAAGGAGAGAGGGAGAAACTTTTATGTGTGAGAGAAACTGATTTGCTGCTTCCTGCACGCACCCTATTGAGGATCAAACCAGCAATTCGGGCATGTGCCCTGACTAGAAATTAAACCAGTGACCGTTTGGTGCATGGGACAAAGCTTAACCAACTGAGCCATACAGACCAGGGCACAAGGACTCTTTCTTGAAGGTGAAAATCGACAAGGATTGAAAGAGAAAGTTGGTTGAAGCAAGAGAAATGGATAAATAAAACCCTATGATGGGAACTAGTAAAGTAGACACTGGGATTCTGTCAAAGAAGCATCAGAGAGCTTGGAGGAAAGAGTTCCCAAGCTGAGTGGGTAACAGTTGATAGAGAGCTTTGAAAGTCTGACATGGGAAATTTTATATGATAATTAAAAGAACTATTCTATTTGTTTCCTTGCCATTGGAATCAAATTCACAAAGAAGTCAGACAGAAAAAAGACAAAAACCATATGAGGTCACTCATGTGGAACAAAAAAGAAACAAATGAACAAACAATGAGTTGAAAACAAACTCTAGATACAGATAACCAAATAGTGGGTACCAGAGGGGAAAGGGGAGAGTAGGGCAAACTGGGTAAAGGGGGTCAAATATGGTGATGGGTGAAAATTAGACTTTTGGTATTGAGCACATTGTAATGCATACAGATATTGAATTATAATGGGGTATACCGGAAACTTACACGCTATTATTAACCAATGATACCTCAATAAAAATGTATCCTAGACTCCATAGCAGCGGTTCTCAACCTGTGGGTCGCGACCCCTTTGGGGGTCGAACGACCCTTTCACAGGGGTCACGTAAGACCATCGGAAAACACGTATATAATTACATATTGTTTTTGTGATTAATCACTATGCTTTAATTATGTTCAACTTGTAACAATGAAATTGGGGGTCACCACAACATGAGGAACTGTATTAAGGGGTTGCGGCATTAGGAAGGTTAAGAACCACTGCTCTATAGCATGGGACACATATTTTATAAACTACATGACGAAAACACTTTGCTGTGGATCAGAGAGGGAAACAATTAGGATATTGTGCATAGGAAGATGCTGGGATACTTCAAACAAAAACTAGTAAGGACCTGCCCTGGCTGGTTTGGCACAGTGGATAGAGCGTTGGCCTGTGGACTAAAGGGTCCTGCGTTCGGTTGCAGGCTCCTCCCCGGCCTAGGCCCTGGTCAGGTCTCGTGCAGGAGACAACCAATAGATGTGTTTCTCTCACATTGGTATTTCTCTCTGTCTTTCCCTCTCTCTCTCCCATTCTCTCTAAAAAGAAATGGAAAAAAATATCCTCAGGTGAGGATGAAAAAACAAATCAGGATCTGGATTGAGATAGTGGCTTTAAAAATGAAAGAACAATTGTAAACAGGATAACAAAGAGAAATGAGAAAGACAACAGGTCAATCGTATTTCCAAGTAAGATACACAGCAAAGAGGAAGGCACGTTTTGTTTCAGAATGCTTTTATTGGCCACACAGATTTCTCACCTGGTAGTGTTGAAGAGTCCAAATATCAGTGGGTTCTTATGATCTCTGGTATGCAGCAGAAAAACATCCTCTGAAAAATTAAAGATCATTACATTACTTAGTATTTTTAGTCCTCTTTGCATGTAAAGAAAATCATTATAGATTGTATGATATAAATTTTCATGTACGGCCATACAGCGATGACCAACTCCCAACAGAGTGAAACACTTGGCTGTTCAGCATGACTTAGAGCTGAGCTTCAAGGAAGGACTAAGCAGTGCTACCTCGCTAATGAGAGGGTTTCTCTTTGGTCCTGTAACTCTGTAGAGCTGGCCAAAATGAAAAGAACAGAAACGTGCCCCTAGATGGTTTTCTCTATGATTAGAGTATCCGCCTTTGGACCAAAGGGTCATGGGTTTGATTCCCAGACAAGGGCATGTACCTCAGTTGCAGGCTCATTCACTGGCCTGGGTCAGGGTCAGGGCACATGTGGAAGGCGACCAACTGATGTAACTCTCTCATCTCTCACATCGATGTTTCTCTCTCCCCACCTCCTCCCTCCCTTCCACTCTCTCTAATAAACTATGGAAAAATATCCTCAGGTGAAGATTTAAAATAAAAAAAAAAAGAACAGGAAGTTGCTCTCAGATAGAAGTCAAACACTGCAGACTTTCCATCTGTGCTAGAGACAGTGAGGGTTATAGAGCGGCATATACATCAGTGAGTTAAATTTAATTCTCCCAATATTTACCTAGTTCATCAAAATATGTATCAATTCCATTCAGTCCTGGTACTGAGCAAACCAGTCTCGCTTTTAGGAAAGTGCTCCACTTATTCACCAGTATTCTCTGGCCTCCCACATCATTCTGTGAAAAAAAGCAAAAAAAGCAGGTAAGTGGGTACCTAAAGAGCTTTTAGCAACAACAGATTTTGCAGTATTAAACAAACCTATAGATTTTTTCTTTACTGCGGAAAATTTAGCATAAATTTCAAATAACAGATGCAATTCCCCATAATATTTTTTTTTTTTAGGTTTGCACATTCTATCTGGTCAGTGTAGTTTCACTCTAGTCCTTTAAATATACTTTATAAGTATTAAACAATGTTAATAGAGTGGTCTCTCCTAAATAAAATAGTGGCTTTTATAGTACAGTAATCTTTATTATTTTATTGAGAAATAAACAACTTATCACATAAACATAGAAGCATACATTCCTTTCTCTCCTTTAAAAATGAGAACTTCAAATATACACACATAAACACAAACACATAATATATAAATATATTTGTAAACACATACATCATGTGTATACAATGACATATATACAAATCTCTTCTTAAAAATACTCATTAAATATCTTTTTAAATATCAGAGTACCTTCACATGTGCAATATTATTAGCATTGTCTCAATATATATTGCTACTTCAATTGGTTTTAAATGTTCTCAACCTATTTGAATATCCAACAAACTACAGATGTTTTTTTTCTACAGAATCAACCAACTGCATGGTTGAAACATACTTATGTAAATTGCTTAGAATGTAGACTAAGAAAATTAAAAATACTTTGCTTAAATTATTTTTTTAAAATGGAGCTCAAACTTCCGTGAGGCAAGAAGTACAGCTTAATTACAGACTATTTCTTTAGTATTGCTTTGAAAATGGGGAAATTATACAAAATGCAAAGCTCTCCTAAGAGAAAACTTTCACTAACTGAAAAATAAAGATTAGATTGTAAATATAAATTTTAGGCAGCCCACAGAATAGTGGAATACATTTTAAAGTAGAAACCTACTATACCATTAACAAAGCCCTGACCATAAATTGAGATAAGCAAGCTTAATGAGAGAGAAATGCATTTCGCACCATGCAAAGTCGCCCCACTCTGGTGTAAATTGCATGGGCATTGTTTTCCGCCTCCAGGGCCTTCTCAGTAAAAAAGAAATACACTTTGTTGTCATCTCGATCTTCATTGTCAGGAATCATATATGAACCTACAAATTTTGGTTCTATAGAAGGAAAAAATAAAAGAAAATTGAAATAGTCATTACAACTAAATAAGTTATTTTAATCAATAATATATCACATGAAAGCTTCAGTTTAACTTTCATTATTTATGAAGAAATGAAATATTTTCCTTAAAATTTTATATTAAACACTAAAAATCATGAAGATATTTCCATTTTATCTGCAATAAACTGTGTTTTTTTAAAATTAGAGGACAATTTAATTGGAAAATAAAAGAGTCAAGGTGAAGAAAAATTTGAACACCATACATTATAGACTTGAAATGCATTCAAAGGACAGATTGGAGGCACCATGATGGTAGCCTCCATAAATAATTTATTCCCACACATAAAAAGTGAATGTAAATATATGTAAATATTTTAGTGAATAAGTCTTTTCTTAAATTCATGAATTATATAGTAGTCTAGTTCATGGAAGACCATATTAATGCTAAGATAGAAAATTTGAGTTTTTGTGTTTGTGGTCTAAAAGGTGTGAGTGAATTGCCCGGTTGGCATGGCTCAGTGGTTGAGCATAAACCTATGAATCAGGAGGTCACGGTTCAATTCCCAGACAGGACACATGCCCAGGTCGCAGGTTCGATCCCCAGTGCAGGAGGTAGCTGATCAATGATTTTCTCTCATCATTGATGTTTCTATTTCTCTCTCTCTCTCTCCCTCTCCCGTCCTCTCTGAAATCAATAAAATAAATAAATAAAAATAAAAGATGTGAGTGAATTTTGATTGATATGGTAGGTCAAATATTTTAATAATAACATAGTGCTAATAATACTATGCACTTTAAACCTTAATAAAAAAAGCTGAAAACAATGAAAACGCTCATCATAAAATGACATTTTAATCCCCGGGTGTACCACTGTGCACTGTGCCAAAATATTCCTTACAAATAATTATGTGTGAATGAATGGCTAATGATTTTCCTAACTTTTTGTTTCTCTCTAAAGTGCAATATAATCCAATTAAAACAAACAAAGCAATCAAGTCATCCAAAAGGATACCAATTGATAAAACAACTTATTGGGTAAAAGATTTTACTTTTCATATATCTGCTTTGTTTTCTCCATTTCAATCCTGATTTCTAAACACTGTTATAAATGTAATACAGATTTATAATAAAGGCAAATCATTCTGCTATAAAACAATTTACACATATCATCCTACATAACAAAAAGGTAATATGCAAATTAACCCTCACACTCTCACAAGATGGCTGCCTACAACCAGGTCAGCAGGGGGGTTAGTGAGGGACGAGCAAACGACTGAACAGCAGGCTGCGTGGGGTGACCAGGCCAGCGAGGGGGTGGGAGGAGGAGTTAGGGGCGACCAGGCAGGCAGGTGAGCGATTAGGAACCAGTGGTCCAGGATTGTGAGAGGATGCTGGCAGTCAGACATCCCCCAAGGGGTCCTGGATTGGAGAGGATGCAGGCAGTCAGACATCCCCCAAGGGGTCCCGGATTAGAGAGGATGCAGGTTGGGCTGAGGTGACCCCCTACTCCCCTGCATGAATTTCATGCACCGGGCCTCTAGTATATAATATTTTAGTTCACAAATATCGCTGGTTTAAGAAATCCTAAATTTTAAAACCCCTAAAATCTATAAATTACATTTGGAGTTATTTTCATCACAATGGCAAATTCCCCATGATTTCTAGACTTGTGTTCAATTCCAATGGAGATACTCTTTTCTCCTCAAACCTACCTTTCAACAGGCGCTCATCATCATGCTCGGTGCGGATGTGGGCCAGTCGTCCCATGCTCCGGAAGATGGCAGCGTCTCTGCCCCAGTAGTCACTGTAGAGTCCCGTAAACAGTTCACTGCCTACGTGGAGACATCGATGAAAAAGAGTCAGTGCTTGTTTCTAGATCTGAGGGCCACGTGTAAGCCCCAATTACATAAAACCACATCTAGGTTTACTATGAATACAACCTTATGAAATTATTGTTATTGTCAAGGGCATGCATGGTATAGTCAGTCTGTCAGTTTCAATCCTGACTCTGCCACTTACCAGCTGTGTGAGCTTGCGTAAGTTGTTTAACCTCTCAGTTTCCTCATTTATAAATGAAAACACTCAAAAGGGTTAAAAGTAAAGAACTTAAAAGAGTAACTGGCACATGTTCAGACCTGCATAAGCATTTCATAAATAACCTGGTTTGATCTTATTTTACTAACCTTCTTTTTACCTTCATATCATCAGGTTATTATGTTATTTATTATTATTATGATTATTATTGGTATTTTATGTGAGTCAGCTAACTCAAATCCATTTTGTAACAGGAAATTGTTTCCATCAACATGATTTTAAGGTGGAAACTGCCAAGTCTGACAAAGTTGTATATTATCCAACTAGTTGCTATTTAATTTGTAAGTTTGTTGCTTAGATAGTAAAGCTATGGAGTTCATAATTTAATTGATCAGTCAACATAATGGATGAAGTTAGCTGCGACATGCGGTGGAGGTTGCAGACTTAAAATCAGACTGAGGAATACATAAACGTATGCAGTATCTCAAGAAATGACAATGTGTCTTTGGAGATAGCAGGAAAGAAAGACATTCAAATAGCTTATGAGACGAGAAAGAAAAAGTTCAACAACTAGAAAAATAACATAAGGATATAACTGGAACCCCGGAAAGACCACACCTTTCAAGCCTAAGGACTAGGAGTCCTCTTTTGCCAAAGTGATAACAAAAGGTAATCCGTGTGCTCATCACTGAAGCCAGAGGATTGGTTTGGGCCTCTACAACTTTGATGCCCTTAATCTCTGATTAAGAAGCAACTGATAGCAGATCATTGGAAATAGCCACCTCAATTTAGGGTGCTAAAATTATTTTCTTAATGAGTGTCATATAACTGTGGTCAAGTATAAAAATACAGAGATGATGAATACACTACACTTAAAGTATTAATGCTTTTCTGTTAAATTTGGAATGTGTACACATGGCATGTAAAGTGCCTCAAAATTTAACAGAATTTAAATGAACTCTATTTCCAGTTTCATATATGTTAGCTGTATACTCAATTTTAGAATTTGGATTATTTAAGGAACAGGTACAAAAATTTGACCCAAGTATGTAAACAAAGTTTGAAAGAACTTGAGTGTCACATTTATAAGTTTTACAATAAAATTTACATAATGTAAAATTTACATTATTTTCAAGGTGAATCCTTTAAAACTTTAAAAAACTTAAATAGCTTAAATATATTTGTAAGATTTGAAAAGTAATCAACTAAGTTATAAATGGGACACTTTGTAAGGAAATTCATTTTCAACTTGAGTTAACTAATATACTCTTTAAAAAAATAAAGATTTTTGTTATACCAGATTTAGAAATAGAATAATGAGATATAAATTGAATTCAAAGACTTAAGACAAATAAGTTTTTATAAATGTAATTATAATAAACTGTTTCATTTACAAAAAGGAGAAGTAACTGTTTTACTGTTCTCCAAATTCACTATGGATACTTAAAAACTATATAGAATATAAATACACGTTTCTCACAAAGAAATTTACTTTTAAACTATACATACTATTTAAAAGAAAGAGAGAGAGAGAAGCAACTGGGGTAGAACATTAATAATTAATAAATCAAGGTAAATGGTATACAGGTATAAATCTTATTCTCTTTCAATTTTTCTTTGTATTTAAATTTTTTCAAGATAACAAGTTTCATAAAATAGCTATACTAATTGAGTTTACCCTGTATGCTGAGAGGTGTTTAAGAAAAATAAGAAAAAGTGAAAAACAAAGATGCTTTACATCTAGACTTAAGAAAATATAAATTGATAGAGAAAATTCTATCAAAATTATTTAGGCCTGGCTGGTGTTGCTCAGTGGTTAGAGCATTGGCCTGTGCTCTGCAGGGTCACGGGTTCGATTCCTAGTCATGAGCTCCATTCTTGGGTCGCAGGTTAATCTCCAACCCCACTTGGGGCACCTGCAGAAGATAACCAATCAATGTGTCTCTCTCACATCTATCTATCTCTCCTCCCTCTCTCTCTCTCTCTCTCTCTCTCTCTCTCTCTCTCTCTCTCTCTCTCTCTCTCTTTCTCTCCTCCAACCTTCCTCCCTCCTTTCCACTCTCTCTAAAAATCAATGGAAAAAATATCCTTGGGTGAGGATTAACAACAACAACAAAAAGAAAACCCCAACTCTCTTAAACATAGTCTTTGGTAATAGGAGGGGGAAGTAAGCAACATAATTTATGTCAAAGTAACTAGTGCTGTTTCACCTGAAATTTTAAATCCAAAAGTGAAGAGAAAGTATTTTGAGATAAAATGCATTCAGTGGTGAGGGATATGAAGCATACGTGGGATTCTGCACTCCTTGAACGTGGATAAGAGTCATGCTGAATTCATTAAAAGGCCTGGGGCATCATCATCTTTATGGCATTAATGAATGAGTTGACCATAAAAGAGTTAACTATTGAACCTCTAGTGTGAGAATTGTTTTGATGTAGCTTGTTTCTAATTATTATACTTGATTACATTTCTCATCTAAAAATAAATAGGCCATTTTCTAAAATTTTCCTAAATGTCACTTATTTTTCTAATATGGACTGGGCTGAATGTTTAATGTATAAGGAGGACAAGCTTTCTTAAAAATCATGAGTTTTCTATTTCATAAGTTTTAAATATTTAAATCCCTAAAATATTCCTAGAACTTTCATACCTGAAATTGTTGTTACTATGGGAAACTAATCTTTATATTAGTTCTCATCAATTTTATTGTACTCTGCTCAATTTCGGACATTGTTTCAAAGTTCTACTTTGAAAAAAATTAAGTAAATTCCATAAAGTTAACAAACAAGTACCTCTAAGAGCCACTAGATGGCAACCCTATGATACCAAAAAAATACTATATTCAGGGCAGGTTTTCTGCACAAAGGAATAAAAGATGATATATTACCACTTTTACCCAATTTCCCTTTTTTGTATCCAGATAAAGAAAATAGTTTGTGAACAACTCGAATAACACAATATGAACTGTATGACTTAAACTTCAAAGAAGTTAAACAGGTGCTCAAATCTATATGCTATGTAAACCGAACCAAATGTGTTTCTACTAGAAACATTAGATTTTCCTCAGAAGGAAAAGATTCTCCTTTCATATCTTATTATCAATGTGAAGAACAAAATAAATCCCTAGTAACAGATAATAATGACATTTGGTCAAATACTCCCCTAAGAAAAAATAAGCACTCTAATGAAAAATAATAAACTAGAATAAAAGTTTAGGCCCAAATGTTACCTAACAGTAATTAAATGAGCAAAAGTAGTCACCATCATTATAATTAATAGTATTTATAATAAATATAGAGTTTCCCGTTGAAAACTTTACTTTAAAACTATAACAATTTGGCATAATTTAGAAAAAATCTGTGAACCAATATGTAGATATTTTACTGAGAGCAAAAATAACATCTGGATCAATCACATTTTCATGAATTAAAAAGAAAATAGTGCCATATAAATAGTAAAATAGGTTTTAGAGTTTCAATGATAATATCAGAACTACCCAAGCTTTTGGTGTCCTATGTCTATAGAGACATGATGTTTAATAACTATTAGCTTAGCCAAAAACTGGTATATAATCTATCTTGATACTCTGAATATATATAACCACTTGATTTTTATGCCATGTTATTTTCCATTGTTAGCGTATGAGCTTCTGTTGGTAACTGCTGTTTTGTTGATTTTAGATGGTCAGGTGTGGTTATAATTAAAAAATAAAGCACATCTGCAGGGTATTTTGACAGGTGACTGTCACTTATCATTGTCATGCTCAACAATAGTCTCTATGTACAGAGACAAGAAACCTGGCAAACTAAGCCTCCAGCTCGAAATCTGCTGTTTGACCTTGGCACAACCATTCAATGTCTCATGGTCTCAGTATCTGCAGGATCAGAGAGATCTACATGTGATTTCTTGAGCTGCTAAGTTTTTATGGTCTCTCTGTTGTACACCTCTTCCCCCTTTTTTGTTTTGTCTTGTTGCTTTTGCCTGAAATTCTTCACCTCCTTTTCTACTTCTTCTCCCAGTTACCTGGCGATTGCCCACTTTCTTCCTTAATCCTTCCATGACCAAACTTTTGTTAGTATCATCTTAGCTTAGTATCATAATAGCCCCATGCCTATGTCCATCATATTGCTTTCTGACTATATTTTATTTAACTCCTTATACATTTGACATTATGCCTCACTAGAATGCAGACTTCTTGATGTGTCTTATATATTCTTTTGTACCCAGTACCTTGCACGGTGTCTGGAATACAGAAAACACTCTATAAACATTTTTTGAATCAATGAATGGCATAATCCTATATAATAAAAGCCTAATATGCTATGTCCAACTGTTTGTTCCACTGTTAAACCAGTCGCTATGACGTGCACTGACCACTAGAGGGCAGATGCTCCAACCAGTAGGTTAGCTTGCTGCTGGGGTCCAGCCAATGGGGACTGGATGGAACGGACTGGACACTCCCTGGAGTCCTCCCGCAGTTCCTCCCCGGCCTCTAAAATATTTCTTCTAATTAATTTCCTTTTAATGTGCATGAATCTGTGCACCGGGCCGCTAGTGAACTAATAAATGAATATATCCAAACCTCTTTAGGTATTTAAATAAAAGAAAGTGATGAAATACAATAAGAAAAACTCAGGATAACATTCTGATTTTTCAAAACTTCTTCAGGGGAAAATATCAAAAGAAAAAACTATTAGGTATTTATATGAGTTAGAGTTTTTCCTTGAATTTTTGCTCCTCAAGAGGCCTTGTTATTTAATTATTTTAATTCGTGAATATAAGGGTTCTATTTTCTTCT